TACGTATGTATGTATGTATGGATGGATGTACGTATGTATGTATGTATGAATGTAATTAGTGTATGCATGTATGTAATGTATGTATGTAATTGGTATTAATGTATGTAATTAATATTAATGTATGTAATTAATATTAATGTATTTATGTATGTATGTACGTATGTACGTACGTACGTACGTACGTACGTATGTATGTATGTATGTATGCACGTATGTATACGTATACCAATTCTTTCAATGGCAGTATAATAATGATCAACTATTAACTTATACATACTGGTAGGTTCCGTCCCGGTGATTTGATGCTGTGGATTCAGCAGATCACTTGCGCAGGTCAGTGATGTTTGGACGAGACAACCCTGCAATTGTAGCCTTGAGCATGCATGGCCAGTCTGATACAAGGGCTTGACTATGACGGGTCTTCCACTGGCAACGATTTCAAACGGAGCAGAAACGTCTCTGAGCAGCCGTAATTACTTCTTGCACTTCTTGCAACGGATCGACTTGTGGTGTGGTTTACATGAATATGGAGATGCTGGGGCTCGGGTGCAACGCAAACAGTTCTTCACCAGGAGGAGAGTGACAGAGAAGACTGCCTGGTCACCCTCTTTAACAGCAGCTTGGCAGTGAAAACCACATCGCAAAATTCAACTAATTAGTGCCCTCATAAGTGTTTGGGGGCTGGAGTTGGGGTTAATACTAGATATAACATGGTATAACCATACTATTCGTTTGCAATTCCTCTAGGAACTCTTCAGCTGCACGTAAACATGCCTTGGATCGCATCTGCTGGATCATCTGAGGGATTGCCGACCTGCACAATGAGAAAGTGTTCTCAGTGCGCTTTGCAGACGGCGAGCAGGTGATGTGTCCAGTGAATGGGTCATGATGATGGCTGCAATATGCTGCCATGGTGAAATTGCATGAAATTGCAGGGTACCCCCCAGAAACCCTTGGCAGTTTAGTTAACTACGAAACACGCCCGATGATCAAACATTGGGGCATTAACATGTATCAACCATCAGGTGAACCGCTTGAGGAAGCGCCTCGGTACCTTAGTCTTCTTCCCATGGATTCAGCTGGAGCAGGCGTGGAGAATTCGTGCACATGGCCATTTTTGCGGGGGAAAGAATGCACATCTACTGTATAAGTGACTAGTGACTAGTGGTGGATTTTCCTATCATTTTCGTGCACCGAACCCAAATGATTCAATGTTTCAGTATCTATTCATTTTTCAAAAACGAAACAGTCAAAGAAGTTGAAACATTGTTGACACAGAACAATCTCGAAGTGCCATCCAAATCATCCTTTACTTGGCTCCTCCATTGATTCCCCGCGTTCTGGTCCTTTGCATCGAGTTCCGAAGAAGTCGGCGCAGGCAAACTTTGCGCTGCAGCTGCACAACTTTGATGAGCGAACAGCCCTGTGTTTGATCATCCACTTGGCCAAGAAGGACCCAATGGCTGACGAAAAAGATCCCGCAGAAATGGGCATGATTTTTTTTGGCCAGCTAAAGATTTTGGACTATTTTTTAGAACCAAGCATCATCCCATGTAAGAATCACCTAGTTTGTCATCGTCCCCTGCGTTTTGAAGGGATTTCCAGCCATGGGTTTCCCAGCGCCGGAGGAGCGGCTGACCAACATCCAAAGGCCCCGATGGATCAAAGGCGATGGAACGGAGGATCCGTAGGGAGCTGAATGGGGCGGAGGTGGAATGTGATTGGGGTTGTTTGGAAATTTGGAACACCACCATTGGACATCATTGGACCATGATATTTGGCACAGTTTTTTTCAAGATTTCTCATCATTGTCACCGCGAAATTTACGAAATCTGCTACATATTGTAGCCAGAAGAAAGGGGACGCATTTCTTGGATCCCGATAGGGATGGGGCAGTTTAACCCTGACAAAGCCCTGGCCATCAAAATAGCTAGAGTAAATTCATGTTCCTCAAAAACACAGCTGGGTTTTGAATGGTACTCGTCCCCAGATGCCGAGGCTTACCTTTGGATTGCCTCGCAGTGACAAGCTCAGACGACTGGCAGACCTCCAGTAGGAGCTCATGTGGGACACTCACTGGAGGTTGGGAGACTTTCTCCAATATTCCCACAGAGGGGACCGTCTACATCAGCTATAAATGTGCACCCGAAGATCGGAACTTCAAGGCGGGATTGAGTGGAAAAGAAGCGGCTTGGCACCGGAAAATCATGGAAACACACCGAAATTATGTATATATGTATCCCCAACAATTGTTGGAGTTTTCATCATTTTCCCCATTGAAATGGCCGGAACAGGCCGGACAAATCAAAATGTGTTGACCATATTTTTCCAACTGTGTCACATTGCTACCTTCCACAGCCGCCTTGGAAAAATCAGAAAGATCTACTGGACTTTGACTTCAGGTGTCCCATGCTTCAGTCATGGACTGATCCAAGTTCCGGACAGGTCAGGAAAAGCCACTTGGAGACCTACAGCAATTGGGTTTGTGATGTGACAGAGAATGAGGTGGGTACAGCAATTGGTTTCTCTCAGATTTTCTGAGTTTCCATGGGGGCACATGAGTACCGGCAACTCTTCCTTGGAGCTCATTTTTGCAACGTGTCTATCTTTAACGCAAAATTACACATTAGTATATACTAGTATAAACTATGAGTCCAAGTGCCATTTCAAGTCATTGCCTTCCTGCTCATGGCATCTGCCAGTGTGGTATTTGTTGACAAGATTCTCTTTGCAGATCAACATCCAGATGAGTGCTGCAACGATATCGTTACAATCGCAAAACTTAAAGAACCTTTCCAATTTACAGATTTTACAGTTCAAAGTAGGTATAGTGCCACGTGCAGAGCCATGATTGCTTGATCTCAGGACCATAATCGGATACCAAAAACAATATGGCAGATTTTGGTGTCGGAGCTGGAGGTGCTGTGGTGGGCCTCCACCAACGAAGTGCCAGTGGACGTGATGGAGTTCTTGGAGCTGTGGACCCGGGCAAATAGCCGCATCGATGACGAATCATGGCACGTTGAAGTCCTGTTGAAAACCACGGACTGAGGTTTCTGATAGAGGACTATGATGACGTCTATGAGGTGCCTGACTTAAAAAAAATGAACGGGCAGAAACGGCGAGACTTCAGGCTGTGATTATCGGGTTGCTTGGCTTGGCCAATCATTCCATCAGGCCTTTGATGATATTAAGCGACCGTGCGACACTGAGTCTGACTGGGTGATCTAGGTAGGGACTTCAAAGCCTCAGGATCCTCAGGAGAGGTCAAGTACTTATTTGATCTTACTTCTACATGTTGCAGGGGATGTTGAGTCTATCTTGATGGGTGGACGTGCTAACACAAGGTCAAGTGGATCAGAAGTTGCCTGTTGTCAACTCGCGGAAGCAGCAAGAGTGGCTCAAGCAAAGATGATCACTCCAGGCAGGGTGAGACTTGGACGGCCAGGAAAGGATGAAAGCCACGTTTCCAACGTTTCACTTCCAGATCCTGATCCTCCTGATCTTCCTGTGCCGGACGATCTTGGTTTGCGTCCTGACGCGCATGGCCGAATAGATGAGACGCCTGCTCTGGTCAGCGGGATGAGCAGCTCCAGTGACTCTGGTGACAGTGCAGAGTCACAGACAGATATAGATCAGACAGAACTTCAGAGGCAGGCATTGCATTCGAAGGTTGCAGGGAAGCTTTCAAAGATGGATGTCATCAATCCTGAGGTTTTGAGGGTAACACCTGCATATCGGGCTTTTGAGCGGTGCGCTCAAGCCCTTGCGAGTTGGAGAAGACGGTGACCTGTACTTCAAGAGTGAGAGAAGTGAGAAGATCTCCACCTTTTGGAGCCATTCTTGGCATGGGGGTCACCGGAGGAAGATCATGACTTTGATTAGTTTTTACAGCGGGGCCGCAGCTGTGATCTTGGGCAGCCTGGTGGCTGTTCTGATGATGTTTCTCTTTGGCTTTGCCGATCTCCCTGCCTGGTACCGGATCGAATCCAACGGCGTTGGCCACGCGCGTTGGTCACTGTGCTTTGGCTTTCTGGCCACTTCTGTGGCGATGCTGTTCTGGCGGCCTCAAGATCGGGTGTTCTTGGACAGGATTTGTATTCATGAAAAAGACTTGACACTGAAAACTCAAGCCATCTTAAGCTTGGCTGGGCTGCTGAAAAAGTCCGATTTGATGCTCATTCTTTGGGATCCAACCTGGACAGAGCGAATGTGGTGCTTGTTTGAACTTGCAGCCTTCTTAAAAAGCAGAAAGGCTCGATGACGGAACAGGAATTGATCATCAGACCAGTCCTTCTCGGGCCTGTTTCCATTGCAATGTTCATCACTTCTTCTGCGGTGATGCTTCCGCTGACCTTTTTTGGGGATCTCCCAGTGACGGAGTCATGGCCTATGCCCCTCTTGTTTCTGTGATTTTCTTGTGCGGCCTGGTCACTGCCTACATATTTGTAGGCACCTTGAGAAGGTACTTCCGAGATCTGGAGATTATGAAGCAACAGTTGAAGGTGATCTCTTTCGATCTCGCCACTTGTTTGCGAGCAGGACCATGTGAATGAATCAGGGAATGCTTTTCTTTGTGACCGGCTGTTGGTGAAGAAATGTGTAAATGTGTGGTCTGGTAGCCAAGAAGCTTTCGAGGAAACTGTACGTTCAGAGGTTCTGGACATCGTGAGCAGGGATCTGACTCACGGAGTTTTCACCAGCAAGTCGTGGGTTCTTGGAGTCACGGTTCCAATCCTATGGAGCTTCATGGACATGGCGGCCTCCAAAACCATCGTTTCTGCACAAAATTTATGGCATTATCGAGCCTTGAATTATTTCTTGAATGGCCTGGCCATTTGGCTGACTCTCCCTGCAATCATAGACTTGATAGTCACTGTTTGCAATGTTACTCGTGGTGTGCTCCGTCATCATTGCTTGGACATCGTGAAGAATTTTGTGGTCGCACATGGTCGCACTATTTGCGTCTTTCCAGTTGGAATCATGGGATCGCCTTGCTGATCTTTTCACTCGTCTGTCGCTGCCTCACTTTCGGCATCAAGACCTGGTTGAAACCCGGTTGAAATCCGATTGAAATCCGGTTGAACACATGATCAAATTCCATGGTCATGGTCGGAATGGATCAGTTCGAGGTAACCATCAAGATAATGACCCAAGCACTGCTCAGCAGGCGACTCCTGCGAGAATGCTGCAGGAACTGACGCCATTTGGATCGTGTCAGACTGATGGGAGTCAATGACTGTTGCAGGAAAAATAGCAACAAAAAGGTGAACATGTTGCTTCGTTGCATCAGTTGCAGCCTTTCTGGCTGGTATTTTGCTTTTTCTTTGCACCTCTGCCTCTTAAGTATGAGCCATGCAACATTTCATTTAAAGCCTGCAGCCTGAAGTGAAAATGCAGGACGTGGATTATCAAACACAACCACTACATAATTATTAAAGGGCTACGCCCTCTGCCGCCGACCCCTGGACACTGGAGGGTCATGCCTGCCTCTGTGTCGTAAGCATGAAATGAACTCTAAAGAAACCAGAAACTGACTTAAACAAACCATTTGTATGAAAGTTGAAATCAAAGAACCTACAAGAAAACTAGCTGTCTGAGCTGTCTTCCTGCCGCCAAAAGCCTCACAAACGGCGCCTTCACCACACCAAAACAGCAGGGCCCTGAGGGACGGACCGGGCCTGCGGGCCACTGCCTAACGTTGCTTTCGGAACCTCCAAGGGCGCCCGGGACACGTTTCGGTGCAGCCTAGTGCCTAACGTTGCTTTCTGAAACCAGAAGAAAATCTCCAGGACAGCGCCCGGCAGGTGGCCAAAAGACACGCTACTGGGCCGCCAAGGGCGCCGGGAGACGTTTCGGTGCAGCCTAGTGCCTAAAGTTGCTTTCTGAAACCAGACGAAAATCTCCTGGAAAGCGCCCGGCAGGTCGCCAAAGGACACGCTGCTGGGCCGCCAAGGGCGCCGGGACACGTTTCGGTGCAGCCTAGTGCCTAACGTTGCTTTCTGAAACCAGAAGAAAATCTCCTGGAAAGCGCCCGGCAGGTCGCCAAAGGACACGCTGCTGGGCCGCCAAGGGCGCCGGGACACGTTTCGGTGCAACCTAGTGCCTAACGTTGCTTTCTGAAACCAGAAGAAAATCTCCAGGAAAGCGCCCGGCAGGTCGCCAAAAGACACGCTGCTGGGCCGAAGGGCGCCGGGACACGTTTCGGTGCAGCCTAGTGCCTAACGTTGCTCTCTGAAACCAGAAGAAAATCTCCCGGAAAGCGTCCGGCAGGTGGCCAAAAGACACGCTGCTGGGCTGCCAAGGGCGCCGGGACACGTTTCGGTGCAACCTAGTGCCTAACCTTGCTTTCTGAAACCAGAAGAAAATCTCCAGGAAAGCGCCCGGCAGGTGGCCAAAAGACACGCTGCTGGGCCGCCAAGGGCGCCGGGACACGTTTCGGTGCCTAACGTTGCTTTCTAAAACCAGAAGAAAATCTCCAGGACAGCTATCGGCAGGTGGCCAAAAGACACGCTGCTGGGCCGCCAAGGGCACCGGGAGACGTTTCGGTGCAGCCTAGTGCCTAAAGTTGCTTTCTGAAACCAGAAGAAAATCTCCTGGAAAGCGCCCGGCAGGTCGCCAAAGGACACGCTGCTGGGCCGCCAAGGGCGCCGGGACACGTTTCGGTGCAGCCTAGTGCCTAACGTTGCTTTCTGAAACCAGAAGAAAATCTCCAGGAAAGCGCCCGGCAGGTCGCCAAAGGACACGCTGCTGGGCCGCCAAGGGCGCCGGGAGACGTTTCGGTGCAGCCTAGTGCCTAACGTTGCTTTCTGAAACCAGAAGAAAATCTCCTGGAAAGCGCCCGGCAGGTGCCAAAAACACGCTGCTGGGCCGCCAAGGGCGCCGGGACACGTTTCGGTGCAGCCTAGTGCCTAACGTTGCTTTCTGAAACCAGAAGAAAATCTCCAGGAAAGCGCCCGGCAGGTGGCCAAAAGACACGCTGCTGGGCCGCCAAGGGCCCCGGGACACGTTTCGGTGCAACCTAGTGCCTAACGTTGCTTTCTGAAACCAGAAGAAAATCTCCAGGAAAGCGCCCGGCAGGTGGCCAAAAGACACGCTGCTGGGCCGCCAAGGGCGCCGGGACACGTTTCGGTGCAACCTAGTGCCTAACGTTGCTTTCTGAAACCAGAAGAAAATCTCCAGGACAGCGATCGGCAGGTGGCCAAAAGACACGCTGCTGGGCCGCCAAGGGCGCCCGGGACACGTTTCGGTGCAACCTAGTGCCTAACGTTGCTTTCTGAAACCAGAAGAAAATCTCCAGGAAAGCGCCCGGCAGGTGGCCAAAAGACACGCTGCTGGGCCGCCAAGGGCGCCGGGACACGTTTCGGTGCAACCTAGTGCCTAACGTTGCTTTCTGAAACCAGAAGAAAATCTCCAGGAAAGCGCCCGGCAGGTGGCCAAAAGACACGCTGCTGGGCCGCCAAGGGCGCCGGGACACGTTTCGGTGCAACCTAGTGCCTAACGTTGCTTTCTGAAACCAGAAGAAAATCTCCAGGAAAGCGATCCGGCAGGTGGCCAAAAGACACGCTGCTGGGCCGCCAAGGGCGCCGGGACACGTTTCGGTGCAGCCTAGTGCCTAACGTTGCTTTCTGAAACCAGAAGAAAATCTCCAGGACAGCGATCGGCAGGTGGCCAAAAGACACGCTGCTGGGCCGCCAAGGGCCCCGGGACACGTTTCGGTGCAACCTAGTGCCTAACGTTGCTTTCTGAAACCAGAAGAAAATCTCCAGGAAAGCGCCCGGCAGGTGGCCAAAAGACACGCTGCTGGGCCGCCAAGGGCGCCGGGACACGTTTCGGTGCAACCTAGTGCCTAACGTTGCTTTCTGAAACCAGAAGAAAATATAGAAAATCTCCAGGACAGCGATCGGCAGGTGGCCAAAAGACACGCTGCTGGGCCGCCAAGGGCGCCCGGACACGTTTCGGTGCAGCCTAGTGCCTAACGTTGCTTTCTGAAACCAGAAGAAAATCTCCTGGAAAGCGCCCGGCAGGTCGCCAAAGAACACGCTGCTGGGCCGCCAAGGGCGCCGGGACACGTTTCGGTGCAACCTAGTGCCTAACGTTGCTTTCTGAAACCAGAAGCAAATCTCCAGGAAAGCGCCCGGCAGGTGGCCAAGGGCGCGGGGAGACGTTTAGGGGCAGCCTAGTGCCTAACGTTGCTTTCTGAAACCAAAGAAAATCTCCAGGAAAGCGCCCGGCAGGTGGCCAAGGGCGCCAAGGGAGACGTTTAGGGGCAGCCTAGTGCCTAACGTTGCTTTCTGAAACCAGAAGAAAATCTCCAGGAAAGCGTGGCAAGGGCGCCGCGAGGCCTTTGGAGGCAGGCTAGTGCCTAACGTTGCTTTCTGAAGCCACTAGAAAAGCTCTTGGAAAGCGCCCAGAATCCTGGAAAAACTTTTTCTCGGGCGCGCTCCCCCTGCAGATTGCTGGGGTCGGCGGATATAATTAAATTATATGCATACAATATACAATATACAATATACAACATACAATATACACTATACACTATACAACTACATCTACGTACATATATATATATAATATTTAGACGACATACAATATACATATTATATATAGACACACAATACACATGATAATATAAATGAACAACAAAATCATACAGTAATATCAATACAGGATTATATACATCGGCATGTACATTGTCATAAATTTATGTACTGGTCATATTATTCCATGAATTCTGGCGCCAAAGAATCCGAGGACCAGCACGGTCCTCACACTTCGAGACTTTGAACAGGGCTTGAGGTGATCTTTTCAGGGCGACCATGGCTTTTGGTACCTGAACAACATGGGAAAAACATGGGAAAAACATGGGAAAAACATGGGAAAAACATGGGGAAAACCTGGGAAAAGATGGGAAAACACATTGGAAAAAAAACATATGAAAAAACATGGGGAAAATGGGAAAACTGGGAAAACTGGGAAACATCAGAACATTATCAATAAACCATGGTTTATCACGGTTTATTTTTGTATATCATCGTTTCCCCTATGAACATTTTGTCAGAAATGGGCGTATACGTTAAATATTTTGGCATATTAAACACCATATCAGCAATCTTAGTTTCTTCACTAGACCGTATTGATATTTTTTTCCATGTTGATCTTGCATTTGATATTGGAGGATTGAACATATATTTGGATATTGGGGTCATACCATGGTTCATCCGAAGACTAGCCCTTTTTGTGGTTTTTCTCTGAATGGTACCATCGCAAACATCGAGGTACGGCATACCGAATCCACCGATTTGCGTCTCTTTTTTTTTCGGGTGATTGGGACCTTGATAGATCATCCTCCTTGATCCATAGAGATCATTTTAGTATAGACTTATGAAAGAAATCACACCATGGTTTTTAGTATGACATAGTATGACATATTTCTCCATGAACATTGGAGATCATTTTTGAAATAACACCATGCTTTTTGGGGTCCCATTTTGAGAAAGCTGCGGTTCTCCAATTTTGGGATCCGCCAGGCGACTGAAGTGCACCAAGTTCAAGGGTCGACGAGAGATGGAACAGATCATGGGCCTGGACCTCAGTTCAGCCCTTGAACATACCCTGGGTGAGTTATGCTACCATTTTTTTTGAGGATTATGATAACCCATAGTAAATAGGAGGGAAACCTATCAACTAGTATAATGAGATGGGATAAACAGGTATTTTTAATGGCTCAGTTTAAGAGTTTTAATGTGGGTTTGGTGCCCGAAAATGACCGGGGGGAAGCACACAGGCAATCCAACGGATTATGCCCATTTTCCTGAAATTGACACATGGCCATAACTGGGGGTATCCACCATTTTCAGACAAATCCATATGATGTTTCACAATGGTATACAGTTGTCGAACTTGGTAGTTGAAACGCATGATGACTCAGCAGTTCAGAACTTGATCTATGAGGGGAAGCTGAGAGCCTCCAGCGATAATTCAGCTGGGCCGCACACCATGCTGCTAGAGCAACCAAACTTCCCTCACAAGGCTCTCAAGGTCAATGCTTGCAGCAAATCATTTCTGTGAAGCACCGCTAAATGCTCGCTGTACTAAGGTGTCTTTCGCATCTTGCCTGAATCATGGGTTTTCTTCCTCGTGCCATGAACGTTTTTCGTCACTCTTCAAGGACTTTATTCCACCTTTGGTGACTAAGGCTACTTGGACCCCAGCGGTGAGGGCCAAGTCTCTCGCAATGAGTGGGGTAGCTGGGCTGAATCAGCCGCCATGGTTTTTCGAAGATATCCCATCTGAATGGCGAGAATCTTCATTTGGGTATGGCCCAAAATGATCAGCCCCAAAATAGATGTCCATGTTTGGAGATGCTGGAAGTATGTGGAAGTACCGAGCCTCAGAAACTGGTGCAGTTGGTGTTACACCCTCTGGCCACCAGCCCAGTGAACGAGACGGGTTGGATGGACATTCTCAACTTTGGGATCTTTGGGCATTGGTCAATGCGCCCTGCTGCCAGGAAACCACCAGACATTTCACGGCGCTTTTTGATTTCTTAGAATTGACCATACCGACATTGAACAGCTTTTAAAGTAAGACAGTTAAATCCATTGTCCTTGTGCTTTGGTGCCCATGCTTGACATGACTCACTGGTTATGCCTTTAGCTAATTGATGCTAATTGTATGCAACAGGGCAGCCGTGCAGGGTGCAAATAGCAAGCCTCCGAGAAAGAGACGTGTGATGCGACACTCATGTATTTCAACATATTTCAACAAAACCAAACACGTCTGTGCGTTCTGTAAATAGATGCAGCGAGACTTTTGATCTGATTAGTGGCTCCATCGTCTCTAAGGCATGCTGGAGCTGTGCCACAAAGAGATGGTATACTCAATCAAGGACACAACGGGAGGCAGGCGAAGCGTGAATCGTTGTGATGGAATCCCTGCTGAATTCTGTGTTTGGATGACAATTTGTGATTCCTCGTGATGCATAAAGATACGCCCTGGGTCTTGGTTTTTTCTGATGTGTTGCAAAAGTAGGCATACCTTTGCACTTCTCTTGAAAATTCTTGAAATAAGGATTCGATTCAGTGACCTGCCAAACCTTTTGTTCTCGAGGAGTTTGTCCACTTCTGCCAGCGTTCATTTGGAAATGACTTGAACGTGTTGTCCTCAAAAATGAAGTGTGTTGTGGTGGTGCAAAAGATTTCAAACATGCTGGCGGTTGCAGCAATGATCACTTCACATCTCAGCCGTCCATAGCTGCCATAGCTGAGCCACCAGGCTGCTTGGGCGGTCTTTGACCTCAATGGGGACAACTTCATCTCTGTGGTAGCCTCAAAGCGGCGGTGGCCATCTGAAGTAATCGAAGTACTGTAATCTGTAGATCATTGAGATCCAATTTACCAATATCGTTTGACAAAACCAAAGAGATTTGTGAGAGAAGCTGCCTTTTTGCCGTATTTTGCCATCATATTCAGACTTTAGCCAAAGGACTTGGGGGATCAAGACGATCAGGCTCAAGCTGCGTGACTCGCCAAGGAACAAGAATGGACAAGTGTTGCACGGTCGTCCTCCTATTTTGGTCCCACTCTGCCCATCTTCCGCTTCTTGGATAAAGACGATGAGGGTACCATCTCCTTTGAGGAGTTCGAGGAGCGGCTTGGAGTAGTCTATTTTTTTTCAATCGGGATGAACAAATCATATGTGAGTACCCGACAAAATTAGCGGAAGACTAAAGTACTAGGGAGTGGACTTGGGATGTTCAAATTTGTGTGAAAACCTTCACAACCGATAGGGGACCACCCACTTTGGCCATGTCCATTGCGAGTAGTAAGTAATTTTGTTCGCCGCTCATATACAAATCATAATAAATCCACAGATTCTCATCCTGTTGCTGCCGCTGTTGCCATCTTTATCCTTGTTCTTGATAAGACTGCACAATGTCCAGGAGCTACAGAAGTTTCACGAGCCACCAAAACCAGATTTGCAGGCATCGAGGGCGTCAGACAGCGAGGGCAGCATTCAAATTCGCTGGAAGTCTCGGGAAAGAGAATTTACAGAAGCGCCTGTTGACACTGATCCTCTTGATCTAAAGCACACAGCACAATTATGCAAGATGTCATTACCAGAACGAGACAAAATTTCCGAACCCATTGGTTAGGGTTGGCTGGTCACAAGTTGGATCGTTGGTGACATCCAAGATCAATAAGATCACCTGAAATGCCAAGGTTGCCCATCCTGCACTCACGTTGCTTTCGGCTGGAAGAGAAATTGCCACTTCCATTTTTTTCTTTCCTTACCCGCGGGATTGTAGCAGCAATGGAAAGAAGGCGTCGTTCCATCACACTGTGCGGTCTCTTGCAGCTTTGATGAGAGCCTTTAGATAGCAGTTTCTGTAGTTCCTTTTTTGCTTTTCATGATATTCCCATTTGATCTCCATCAATTGGGTATGGGCCAAAATTGGGTACCCCAATAACTAGATGGTGAGTACTAAACAAAGACTAAAATCATCTAAAATCTGTGGTTTTACTGGGCTTCAATATTGAGCCATACCTAATTGCTGGTATCATCACATGGCCATGACGACCGAGGTCCTTTCCTCTCTTCTGGCCTCAGTGCTTTCTGATCGATAGCTTGGCCACCAGCCAGTGCAAAGTACTGCAGGAGAGGGAAAGTGGCTCCACAGTGTGCTTAGTTGGCTGCATCCTGGCATCCAAACATTGGGCTACACCGAAGATCACCAAATTATGGAAAATCTATGGCCATTTGTAGGTAGGAATCCATTATATGATAGAAACTTATGCCATTTTAGTGGGAAAAGCTGCAAAACTATGGCCTTTTTGCTGACGAACCAAACATGTTTGTCACTGGTTTGGATTGCTCCTTCGAATGGCCCCTGGGACTTGAGAGTTTGGGGTGTTACGGACAAAAGGACATTGGACGTGAGACAAGAAAAGTGTTGTTCCTGGAAGCAGTTGTCAAATAAGGATGATCAGGACATTACTTTTCTGGATTTGGTGAACCATGTTTGGTTACAAGTGTGCGGTCCCTACCGCTTCTAGTGAAATATATAAATTTTGTATCCACACCCTTGATTGCTTTGACTAGGATCAGAAAACTATGCCAGGAGCCAAGCGATGAGTAGGTAGGAGTTCTTGACGTGCAAATCTGAGGCATGCACTTCAATCCTTTCTCCACTTTCTCAGCTCGACGAGTTGCGCAGACCTTGGCAGAGAATCAGACTTTGAAGGCGGTTGTTCTGGAGATGTTCGATCACCGTTGGCACAGAATGTTTGGGGCTCAGCATCATTAGGCTTGCTGTGAAAACTTAACACTTGTAGAACCGTTATCATTCAATAGCAGGATTAGCTGGAACTGGGCGTCGGGTGTGTTGTAGAATATGGCTTTCAGAGGGGTTCTTGTTGCTTATTTGTGCTTAACTAGTTTTGATAACTTCCCTGGTTGCCCTTGGACAGCCTTGGCTGCAAGGCTCGAGCTGCACTCCGATGGTGAAATGCGGCTGATTTTCGACAACGAGATGCAAGCTGTGGCTGAGATTCTTGGTTTAAACTGGATATAACTGGATTGGAATGCAGGGACGAACCCAGTTTCAAGATGTTTCAAGGATCATTCAATATCCTTCAATTTGGAGTGCTCACTTCTACCAGCTGGACTTTCTTTTTAACCAAAACCCCGTGGCTTTTGTAATCCCAGCGAATGTCCTGGACTTTGTCAGGATTGCCAATGCCTCCGGTGTCCCGATTGCATTTGCCGATTTGTCAGATGAAGAGCTAGACATGGTATTCGACCGAGTCATCAATGAGACCTTGGCAGATGTGCAAGAACCATTCAGTGGTTGGATGCGAATTTGGAAAGATCTGACCGAAAGTATCTCAATGTTCCTGGGAGATGGTAACGGATCCAGCTCCGAATCGACTGTTCTATATCACTTTCTTTCCTCACTGTGTGTGCTGCTGACGACCCCCATTGCTCTGCTGCGAAATGTTCTGGTGCTCATCATGGAAGCGCCGTTTTCGAACACCGCCTGGCTGCTGCTGATCTTCATTGCCATCCCTGCCTTTCTCCTAACCCAGACGGACGTTGGTACTGCTGGTGCCACGTCCAGTTCTGGTGCGGATGGACTCCTAAACTTGGCCAGTCTTCTACTGACGATCCTTGGACCAAGCAATCATATGCATCCCACTTACGGTAGCATGTGGTTAGTAACCCTTACAATCACATTCATGTATATTATAATATTATATATATAATATTTATAATATATATAACATTTATAATATAAAATATATATAATAAATATAATATATATAATACATATAATATATATATATATAATAAATATAATATATATATAATATTTATAATATATATAATATTTATAATATATATAATATTTATAATATAAAAATATATATAATAAATATAATATATATAATATATATATAATATATATATATTATATAATATATAATATATATAATAAATATAATATTTATAATATATATAATATATATTATATATGTAATGTATATAATATATATAATATATATTATATATGTAATGTATATAATATATATAATATATATTATATATGTAATGTATATAATATATATAATATCTATTATATATATTATATATAATATATATAATATACATATAATATATATAATATAATATATATATATAGTATATAATGTAAAACTATAACCCGTATGTAACTGGGGTTATGGGATAAACATCCAGAAACCGGTTTTCCCCATTGTACCATGGTTTAAAAGTTTAAATGTCCATAACTGGGTGGTTAAATACCCCATTTTCAGACACGTATACAGTATCATAATGTCCCACAGCTGCATGTCTTCGCGCGTCAGGCTCCCGATGTTGGCCCTCTGGCGAATCTTGCTGCGTGCCATCATCAGAGAACGCGACTCTCACATTGCGGAAAAGATCCGGCAATCCTGTGATGCTCACGAGATACTCGGCAGGGCCGAAACAAGTGGGAGGTAGTCTGCTGAGTCTAGTGTTTTTTCTTGTCAAATAAGTCCCTGCGGAAACCGCAACCAAAGTACAAGGAAGGAACACTTCAGACTGTATACATTGAAGTTTATGAAGTTATGAAGTTGAGAAGGCAAATGAAGTTGTGCAGGTTTTAAGTCATTAGGCCTTACTTAATCCATATTTTACAGCCGGGAAGGTTCGGTCTCTCGCATCGATCTTGGACCGAAGAGTCCATCCTGAGGACAGTTTTGGTGGTGTTGGGAAGTTTGCACGTGCCTGGTGTAAGCCGCAACTTGCGATAGCTCTGCATCTCCAGCTTAACAGAGGCACCACCAGTGACTGTTTCGAAATTGACCAGTGGAAACTGAAAGAATGACGAGCACCGTCACATGTGAACAGAGAATGACCGACCTGAAGCATGCCTCTTGGGAGTTACATGGATTTTTGATGTAAAACCAGGCCATCACCAGACGAGTGTTTCGGTACTGTCATCGTGGAGCTCTATACCACATTGGACCATGCTCAAAGGCTCAAAGTGAAGTTGAATTGTAACCTTGTACCTTCAGTATGTTGGCCGCGTAGTTTCAATGAACGTGGTACGCTGCCTGAAGCGTTTGCACTGGAAGCCAGCAGTCCAGGATTGTTCAGGCGGCCTTCTGAACAATCCCTGGAGTGCTGGAGTAAGACGACACATCCAATGCGAATCATCCAGAATCCGTGAGGCGCCTTTTTTTCAGTTCTTGCCGTCTTGCCGCTGTTTATTTTGGGTTGTGGAGTTGTGGCCTCCTTTTCCTGTGACTGAGTCACGGACCCTCGGGTTGTGCGTGTGAGAAGGGCGGGTGCAGGACAGCAGAAGGTGCTGTTTCTTGAAACCAAGAAGACACTCCTCGCAGCTGGGAGTTCTCTGCAATGAGTGCAGTGGGTAAGGCTTGCAGCAGGACAACTATAGCCGGCCACCGGTGTGGTGCTGCTCAAGCCATGAGCACTGGTCTTGATGGCAAAAAACGTCGGGAATCAGCTGTTCTTGCAGTCTCTGTCAAGGCCGCATAACCAGAGGAAGAATCCCTTAGCGCTTGTCTTTCTGCCATACTATGAATCCCACAGAAACATGACCAACCCCGGACCTCATCCGTTGAGCATCCTGTCCGTTTCAGGCCATGGAGCAAGGCATCCACTTGATGAAAGTCAATGGTGCACTGATGCGGGACTGCCAGCAGGTTACTGTTGGTATTCCCAGGATGCCACACCAAAAAAAACTGGGTCCACCGGGTACACCGGGCACACCCCAAAGTGGTCATTTAAATCATGATCCGTTGGAATCGGGCTTTCCCACCTTCAAACAAAACCCAAGTGGCTTTGTCTGAAAATAGTGTAACAGTGTACCCCTACATCCAATGGTGAATCATCATTTTCCCTATTAACTGGCTATAACTGGGGGTATACACACACATATATATATATATTATAATATACACATATGTATGTATATACCATATTTTCAGACAATACCCAAATGAAAATTGCTTGGAGTGGCTCATTCACAGCAGGACCTTTTACCCACACGTCTCCGAGTCCGTGCACGCCTGGCCAGAGCAAGGGCCGGTGCTGAAGGCTCCGAAGTTGGTTCCTGGTTGGATCATTTCGGTTCCAAGAGGCAAAGATTGAGACATTTGGATGGCACTCAGCCATCCATTTTTGGTATTAGATGTCATAAAACCATCCAAAAAGATCCCGAAAGTGGAGTATTACAGTATGACCCAAAAATGTCGGACGTGATTATTTTGACTCATTATTACATCGTCCGTATAAATGTTAAATCATACGTTTTCACGTATTTTGACCCATAGCTGGTTGCTTCTCTCGCACCTTTGGAGGTGGCAGAAGGGCAAGACCCCTGTTGGACCAGGTGGGCTGTGGAGGAATTGGATCCCAAAAATGGTGGTTTTTCATGGCAAAATGTTGGGGGATTTAGCATGATTTACCCAGCAATTTTAGCATCGACTAAGCCGACTAAGCATGATAACGGCTAAGAATGACTACTCCTGGTCGGTATAATGATTGATTAAGGGTTTTTAATATTTTTTAATTAGGGGTAGCGGATCCATTGATCGTAACCTGGCCATCCTTGATGGGAGCCGCTTCAGGCAACGCTGCAAAATCTTCAAAAGGCCGGATGCTGTGGATTCTGTTTGATTCTTTGAATTTCCTCGAGCTCAGTTGCTCCAATGACTCTAATGTGTTCAAGTTTGACATGCAGAGCATAGCTATCCCTCTCCGGATACCGCTGCGCTTTTTGCAGTCACAGATTGTGTATGGCCAGTTCTTCTCTATACCCGACCAATAGCAACGCGTTTGGTCGAGTGAGTCATGCAGTACATTTGAGATGCCTATCTGATTTTTCTGCATTTCTGAAGGCCATTAAAAGAAACCCATCAACCATGGGCTCGCGAGCAAGCGCACCCAGACTTGTTTGCGTGGTCCAGGGACACAGGGAGTGGAGTTTTCATAGAACCGAGCAGCAGAAGTGAAATTTAATGCCAAATTTAAACCAAGAGGTTGAGCATCTGTCTTCCATGTTTTGGATCCGCAATTTGTCCCTCGTAGTTCCTTTGTGAAGAGACGCATTCTCTCATTTTTTTTACAATAGGGGTATCCCCCAAACCGTTCCAAACTATTGGTTTCCCTGTGGAAAATGTCCGATATACATATATGAGATGCGGTCAAAATAAGCGTAGACTACTTTAGCAAGGGAGGGTTCAGTTGTGTTGAGAAACTGCGCCAAACCATGCAAAGTGATAGGGCCCCCAAAAAAACGAGAACTTGAAACAATATGAGACTTGGTGTAAACCAAGCAAATATTGTTGTGTGCCTTCACTCGATGGGCAAAATTGATGAAGAAAATTCAACCTGCAGTGCCCACGTATCTTGCAGTTGCCATACCATTTGTTGTCCAAGGTGATTGAACCGTTGCTTTCTGCAGGCAGTTGTTTTTTTCTCCCAGGTCCCAAAGCAGTAGAACTAAACTCAACTAAATGAAACCGAATTCTGAATTAAATTAAAGCATAGTTTCAAATCTAATTCTGAGTTCCTCTTTCCTTTTATTTTCCTTTTGAATGCTGCAGTAAACCAAAATTGATTTTGAATCCAATTCGGCATTTCATTTATATTATTTTATTTTATTTCCTTTTTGTTTCTTTCTTCTTCCTTCGTTTTCTTTTCTCGTTCTTTACTTCCTTCTTCCTTTTAGTTTTTCATTTGTCCTTTTTGTTCCATGTTCCCTTTTCTTTTCCTTTCTTGATCATCAAGGTGTTCCAATTTAGGGATAACCTACCGACAAGCTTTTGTTGAAAAAGGACCCCCGGACGAGGGATAGACTCATTTGATCCCACCAAGAAGAACTCAACAAAAAAGTGAAGAGGTTCTCAACCCTAGGCCAGATATAGATATTATATATATATATGTACACAGATATAATTTGATATATTAATTATTAGTATATTTTGTATATCATGATATTAGATGATATTAGATGATAGTTAGATGATAGTTAGATGATATCTAGTATATTAATATCATTAGATATATTAGTATCATCTAACGTTGAGGTTCCGGCTTGGGGTTCTGTGGCTTCCCCTGAGTTGATCAACGGCCTGGAGAAAGTTCTAAGTGCCAACGGAGTGAAAGCGCGCGAAGATCTCAGTGAATCGCTGGTTGATGGCTTGTCCCAAGCACATTAGCCACATTTAGACAGGTCATTAGGTATTCGTGGGATAATATGGGATAATATCATTCATGAACTGGCTTCTTCGTGGGATAATATCATGAACTGGCTGTTGGTAATACTATATATCATCCATTCTAATAAGATGTTCCATGATAAATTATCCAGCTATTGGGGTGCCCCCATTTCAGGACACCCCCTAAAAATCGGGTGATAACACGCGCTTCCAGGGCGTGTGACCTTGATGAAGACCAACAACTTCAAGGAGCCATTGACGCAAACATATGGCTCTGTCCAGAAATGGGCTATACCAGTATACCGCAAGTTATGCCCATATATGGCCATATATGGCCATGTTGAATCATGTTGAATCATGTTGAATCATGTTGAATCACAATGTTAAGAGAGAACATGATCAGATACTGATTCAACATGATTTTGTGATATTTTGTGATGTGGTCAACTTCCTGCCAGTCCGAGTTGCTTGAGGATGGACTGCGTGAGCTTGTCTGCGAGGTTGACATACCAGACACTGTGCCGTTATCCTGGAAATTCCTGGAATATGGAGGTCGCTTAAGTCATGTGGGACACGAAAGGCATTCCAAAATTGGCAATCATCCATTTTTTTGTTTTGGGGGACCCTGGTTTTTGAGAAACACCCACTTTGCCATTGTTTGTATATTTTCAAGCTGTCACAGTTCGTTCTGAAAGCGTAGGGTATTGTGCCAACCAGCTACAAAGCCATAGAGACATGGCAGATGAGGTCACCATGTGGCCTGCAAAGAGCCTTGCAAGCTTCCTTCGAGGAGCAACGAAGTGCATGAGATGTAGATGTTGCCTGCTCAACTGCCATGGACCATTGGATTCAACCCAAGATGACTCGTGCTCTGCAGAACGCCCACTCTGAAGCAGCGGGGTTTCTGCACGCACTGCGGCTGGCGTGTGCGCAAGTGAGTACTTTGGCTGAAAGAGGGACGAAAGCTGCAAAAAACCTTGCAAAAGTATTCATCTCCATGTTGGACGTTCTTATCTGGCATATTCTCATCACCAAATTTCACCACCTGCATTTCAGATGCTCATCGAAAGAATCAAGTTCCCAAGTTTCATTTCTTTCCTGCAAGGGATACAGCTGATTGAGTCTAGAGGCTCTGAGGTAAGAAAAAACAACAACCTTCATCAGTGCAAAAGCTCCTACTTATGCATGTCTTGAGCAAATAGCCAAGCTGGCCTGCCAAGAGCTTCACCAAGGTACACTTGAAGTGGAAGTGAGGCGCTTTTGGGACCGGAGTTTGTTGCATGTTGCATCGAGGAGTGCTACAAGAAGGACTGTACTGTTGAATGGGGATAGCAGAGCATGCTGCATATCAGACACAATGAGATGCTGAAAATCGAGGTCTTGTCCCAAGTGCAGATTCCTTGGCTTTTTTGAAGAGCCCTACTAGTACTACTAATCACGATCACGATCTTAACGGATGGTGGACTTGGTGGAGCAGAAGGATCCGAACAATTTCTGGTCAGTTCCAAAGGCAAATTCCTCGAAGCTGTTCAGTTTCAAGACCAAGAAATTGTTGGGTGTTTCGCTTCGCCACCAGCCATGGAAAGGGCCGATGCCTTCTTTTGGAACGGAAAACACTCTCTGCTTCCACAGTTCCATGTTTCCCTGGTCTGTGAGACTTCCATGCCTGGTTTTTCACCTTGCCATAAGAACCCACCACTGCATGCTACCAGGCCTTCAAAAGAACGGTTGGTCAACAATCTTCGCATGACGATCCCCAACATTGGCATCAATGCCCGAAGGGGAGCGGCTGTCATGGAGGTGGGCTGCATTGCCTGCATCATGCTGCTGCTTTTGAGAGCCTGTTGGATTGGGCACTTGTGGTGGTTCAGGCTGCGCTGAAATGTTCAGCCATCTACAAGTGGAAGCCTCAGATGGTTGAAGGATGTTGAAGGTGGGAAAGGGATTGAAGTGTCAAGATTGTTCATTTTCTGTCAATAGTTTTGATAGTTTTGTTTTCTTTCATTTTGTCTTGTTTCGGAGAGGTTCATGATGTTCATGCGCACCGGAGTGAGGCCTGTGTTGGATGAGTCGGCGGACCTGTCCGAAGTGTTGTCCAGGCGCAGGAAATGATGGGGACCCCTGTCTTTTCAACAGGACTAAGTCAGCTGATCGTCTTGTGGGATAGGTCAGAATTACAACATATGATACTATGTCAATATAGCAGATATCATATGCATAATATGTTTCATATATTTGTACTATGACATTCATAATCTCAATGTTTCTCAATCATGGTTGGGCATATTTTGGAATAATGAACAGTATTAGTTGCTTCGAAGTCGGAGAGTTTCTTGTTTGATATCAGAGGCCAAGCAAATGTGTCTCCGGTTGCGGCCTCAGTGACGTCGGCATCAGCTGATGCATAGCTCAATGGATTGGTTTTTTCGGGAAATTTTACTGGTTTAAGCCCCATGATCTTCATGGGAAAATCTATGGTTTCCGGTTAAGATTTTCCCTTGAACCAATCCATTGAATACCCAGAAACTTCAGGTGGACAGCTGGTACCTGTTACGCATGAGACTCTCCGTGATCCTCCATGGCAGGGTGCTGGGAAGCTCAGCAAACACCCGCAGCATATGGCGTATGTACATATCCAGATTCATATACATATGTGTACTGTATATATATATATATCATATATATATACTAGTATGATATATATATATATGATATATATATATGATATATATATGATATATATATAACATACAATATACGTGCATACATCAATTATATATTAATATATCTGTATGTATCCAAATGGCATACAATAGCAAATTTGTTGGTCTTCACGAATTTGACCTTTGAGGTGCAAAAGCTGTCTGGTTTGTTGGCTATGTCTGGTGCAGCACATCAACAGCTGAAGGAGATGGATTTTGGGGATATCATGGGAAATCCACAGGATATATGTTTGTCTCGAAAAAGCCAGCTATGTAATATAGGTTTGTCCCCAAAATGGTGGATTTAACAAGCAAGAATGAGGATTAAACATCAAACATAGGGATGCCACCAATGTAGAATGGATGTAGTTTTGTCCAGAAATGGGGTGTACATTGCTCATTGACCCAATGCCATGAATTAATGGTGAGTTCCATATGCGAAGGATAAACCACTGGCTGGGGTCTTTGAAATTTAGAAACACCGCAGGAAAGATTGGCACCTGGTAGCAGCTGGGCCAAAGGCGTTTTTGGTGATCAGGCGCGAGTGCCTGGCCTCGAAATTGGGTGTCGGATCCCATCCTTAAAAACATCCAGCATCCACCGAGGCATACCGAGGCCAGACATCGATAGAAAGGTGTATTCTTGTGGGGTTTGCCACACCACCAGGATCGCGGATTTTTTTCCCATGGTGACACGGTTAGGCCGGTTAGGCCCTTCGAAAGGTAACGCGTTTGCAGGTTCCTCGAACGCATCAAAGTCGGAGTTGGAGAGGAACGTCGCTGATTGGCGGAAGCCTCTATGATCCAGGCTAGACACGGTTTGGAGGTTTTTGGCACTGCGAGTTGTAGTGGTCACCAGTGCTTAAATTCAAAGAGCAGGAACAGCATCCTTGAAGTGAAATGGTTCGGATCATTTTGACAATCGGGATGCGTTGTTTTTCTTCCATGCTGATTGTCACAAGAATAAGCTCGCTGTTTGAGGCGTCAAGAAAAGGGAAAGGCTCTCAGAAGAGGTGATCCTGGCACAGACAGAATTCTTTAGCCATCTTTATATTTGCAATGCAGCACGCCTTGAGCAGTCAGCCGTATCAGCCGTAAGAATCATACATGGTGTATACCACACTTTGCACAGTTCTTCGACATAGTGACTAAAACTGGAAAAGAGCACAGGTGATCCTGGCACAGCGCATCTATGAGCAGCAGGACAGCAACAGGGCACCTGAGTGCAAAGGACAAGTTGTGATCAGGCGATACTCACGTTCTGCTAGGTGTAGCGGCAGTGTAGCGTTTGTCTCTCCATGTTGATGGGCTCATGCCTTGGCGTTTTAGTAGTACAACAGAGTAGTGGCCCGATAAAGCTTGGAACATTCTGACATTGTGGGTTCTGTCGCTTAAGCAGGGGTTGGGGTGTTTCTTTAGCCAGGACACAGCAGCTCATGATTTGGTGGCATCCAGGCTTCATGCCCACTTTACATCTTTAAGCATCTTGCCGCGTCTCAGTTTATGATGGACCCTGAAACCATGGACCCCTCTTATTTGGGATATATGATAATCTGACCTGTTGGATTCGGGAATACCTCATTTTCAGTCAGACCCTTCTGCTGGTTTCTCTGAACAAGTCTGACCGCTAGCTGGACACGCTTCGTGATCTGAGGAATCAGATTTTGCACGGGAGAAAGATGATCTCCGGTTGTACACCTCCGGTTGTCAACCATTTTCTGGAAAGACAAATCTTTGGGTAAATCATGCGTTTAGTTTCTGACCACAAGTTTTTTTTTGGGATTGCAGGAGTATGTGCAAGACACTTGAATGACTCCAACAAGAAAACGTGTTTTGGGTCCATCGACCCGTAGCCACTTGCAAGGGTCAACTCCTCTTTCCCTTTACTCATAACCACTAGCCATAAATGGGCGAATGAAAGTGCTGTGCCCAACCATTATTCCTGTATATTATTTTGTAGATCCCTGTCAACTGATAACTGGATGATTATTAGATAATTATCCTAGCAACTACGTATATACAAAACACATATTTAACCAACCATTGCTGCAAGCATAAGAACTATGTGATGAATCTGGCTTTAGTGCTTCACTTACTAAGGTGACTTGCGCGATGCATGGGACATCTTAGAAACGTCCTTTGAAGTGATTTGGGTGAACAACAGGCAAGGCGGCTGCTCCGGTGCGATGTTTGTCTCGTGGGTGGATACCCAGATAGCACGGACAGCTCTGATTTGTGACTTTTTGTTAAATGAGAAAAATGATAATCAACCATCAATGCCTCCTTTTTTGAATGGAACCATGAGGTTTTAAGACATTACAATAAATTGGGGATCCCCTGTTTTCAGATAAACCCGAACTTTAGGGCATCCAGTCCAGCAAGAATCCCCATTGCTAGGTTCCGTGAGCCTGATGCCTTTGGATATCCATGTGTCCAGATGCTTGGCTCCAGTGATATTTCGGATGGCTCAAGCGCTGTGCCAAAAATATCCATGGGGATCAACGATGATCAACATCTATTCACCAGCTTTTCAATGATTTTCACCAGGGCTACTTGGGTTTTGACCCATTTTGTTTAAACGGAGTGAGTCGCCCCTTGTTGGACTGAGGATTGCTGTGAAACAGCAGGTCCAGGATCCTAGGCACTGCAGCAAGGAGTGTGTCCTTGCTCACATCAGCAAGATTACCTTGCACTACGAGCCTCTCTTTCAGGCGGCTTCTCGGGTTCTGGCTCTCCGCGGTTCTCCGTCGCACGCGAAATTAGGAGGTGGTCGTACGAGCCCTTCACCCCAAGAGATTTGTAAACACCCTTTTTCCGGTTGGTTTCAGATGCTCTCAGTTCAACGATATTCGCAATGACAAGCCCCAATGAGTAATATCAGTAATATGATTTTTCAGCACATTTTTCAGGGAATGACAACCCATCAGATTTCGCCAGATCTTTCAGCACATCTACCCGCTGAGTCAAGATCTGGCAGGTCAAGATCAGTGTGACCGCTGAGGATCTCCATGAGGATGGCTTGGGGACATTCTGACAGCCGGTGGCTTGGGATCCCATTTTTTTCTAGGGCTTTGACATTATTAACCATCATTAACCATTATTACCATTATTAACCATGATTATAATCATAACCATGATTATAATGTTTTTATGCTGCCGATGATTACCCTCTCCAAGTCGCTGTGAGTGGCTGCCAGGAGCTCCAGGAGGCCTTAGCGAAGTGTGGCATCGACGGCAGCAGCTTCGACTTGGCGGAGGATTGGATTTTTTGGACAGTTCTCGCAACGCAAGAACTGAAATTTACGGTTATAATCGTGGTTAATGATGGTTACTGATGATTAATGATGTAGCAGTTTTCGGTGTGGTTCACCAGCATGAAGCAGCTGAAAAAATGGATCCCCTGAGTTCTCAGGCTGTGGTGGCCAATGTCTTGGTGAGGTCCTCGTGGACTTTTTCGACATGACATACCCTCTGGTAAACTAACATAGCTGTGGAACATCACCATGTTTAATGGGTAAATCAACGAACTCAATGGTCCATTTTCAATAGCAAACTGTTAAATTACCAGAGGCTAAATCAATAGCCTGGGCATATGGGTTCAACAAAAATACCCTGGGATCCCATACATGATGGGATGACCCTGGGTATTTCAAGATCCCCATGATGACCATACCCCGCAATTCATCTATGAAATACAATTGCAACTTGACCACATGGAAGAAGCCCTGCAAGTCCAAAGGTTTCGTTTGTTGAGCCACCAAGGATTGCACACGGATTCAGATGCAAAGTTGGGCACTTGGAACATCCACAAACGGCTAGCAGTCGGGTTGACCATGGTTCACAGCACATGTTCCGAACATAGGTAATAGTCATAGCCCCAAATCCAGTGATATATGGACATATATGTTCATGTTCGTTATGAAAATGGCAAGTTTCCTAGTTCCTCAATTTTTGTTGGGAGCTGCAGGGAGCGCAGTGGAAGAAGTTGAGCGCGTGTTGGCATTCCTGGAGAGGTGCGTCCCAAGCTGTGGGAGTTCTGATGGCCATGTCATGTGGTCCCAGTGATTCTCTCCTGGTGAGGTATGCTCTGCAAATTGGTGAGAAGGAGGGGGCCCGTGGGCCCCGATTTTCATCTGACTCTGAAGCTGTGTTGGCAGTTTTTTCAAAATCAACCATGACATTGCTGGGCCATTCTCCAAAGAGATTTGTATGACAACAGAATTGAATCTTGTACTTTCATGAGACATGGATCGTTGTGGTTGAATCATGAAAAAATAACATCACATCTCGTGACTTCATCGTCAGATGTGATGGCGCCACCAGGAGCGAGACACAGTCAAGGCCTTGCTTTGGGATTCTGTAGCACAAGCAGAAGCCATGGGTTGTGTCGGGATGCCCAGTGGAACAGTGGACCCCCCCATTGGGTTTTAGGGGTACCAAAGTTGACCCATATCCTTTTGGGGGTTGAAAAAAAAACCATAGGTAAAGGCCAGGTGATTTAGCTCCATAGAGAAGGGCCCATTTGTTTTCCTGTTGATTCTTGAAACATCTTTTGAAATTGATTTGGGTATTTCCCTCATTTGCCAAGATCTATCTGTGAGGAATTGGTTTGTTGACCCAACAATTCATGATACATGTATACATGGTATCTAGGTTGGTGTCTACACTAATATGCCATCCATTCATACATAGAAGACCAACTCCTTCAGGTAGGAAAGGAGCATCTACCGGCAATACAAGTGGTTCCCCACAGATTTGATCCCGAGGCTCGATCCAATCTGCTGAAAATTCTTGAGAGATACACAAGCCACTTCGTGGGCAGCTCAGATCCGTTCCAAGACATATCTTGCATCAGATGTACTATGTATATCTATGTATGGCATCTATGTCTTCCCAATGCCATAGATTATTGATGATTATCGACTTATCGATGATTATTGAAGAGAGTGGGCACGAAAAAAGCCACGAGCAGAAGAATCATCTCCATCTCCCAGCGACGAAGGTGAAGGCAACTCTGGGCATCCAGCTAGTTGAGGACAGGGCCCGTGGCGTGGGTCCAACGAGGAAGGTCCTCTCTAAAGAGAAATTCCGAAGTTCTTATGGCAGGACCAAAACGGTCAACTGATGCTGCTGCTGATGATGATGATGATGGTGATGATGATGATGATGATGAAGATGAAGATGATGAAGAGGATGAAGTGCCTGAAGTCCCAGGTGACAATCAAGGGCCATTTTTTCAGGAATGTTCGCAGTACAGCAAGACTCCCTGCGATACTTCGCAGAAACCCAAGCCACCAGGATAAAGGACCTTCCGCAGAGGCGCAGCACCGTGGGGCCACGGGATGTGATCCGCACATCCGCGAAGGATCTGTGGTTTCCCAAGAATATCAGATATTATACAGTACTTTCCTACCTACCTACATACCTACATACAATACATTCACATTCACATTCACATTCATATGTACATGTACATTGACACTTACATTGACATTTACATTGACATTTACATTTACATTTACATTACATACATAAATGATCCATTGTATGCCTATTGCATGCAATCACCCATATGCGGATTTATGTCGAGCACCCCTCGCTCCAGCGCACCTGAGTCTAGGTTCTTCCTCGCCGGCCAGTGTTGACCAGGAGCGAAGCTGTGCTGGGTCAATGATGATTTTCTAAACATTTCCAACCCATGGCACCCATGGTATGGACGGCTATTGCATGCTATTGCTGTGTCCCCTGTCATTGTCAGTTACTGAGTATCCTATTTGTTTGGACAAAGCCATGTATCAGGATGGGGTCACGTTTGCTATATCATGTTATATCAATTTTAGACATTGCTTCCAACAGCCATGATCCCAAATGGCCAATGCAGAGGATCTCAGCAATGGTGGGTCCCTTGAAAGTGGAGCATCTGGAGCCAGGGGCTAAGCTGGGCTGAACTCGCTAGCATGTGATTTTTGGATAGTGTGGTGACCACAAATGCCTCCGCAAAGACATGTCATCACATGTCATTGTTTCGTATTGTTTCTTGAAGGACAACCACCCAGAAAATCTTGGTGATTTATGGTGATTTGGTGGGATTTCCTGGTCACTTGGCCAAGAGAAAGCATGCGAGACCAGAAGTTTGGGCTTTGTCATGTCACTGATGCATCATGGAAGTCATGCTCAAGTGGCTGCTACAAAGGTTTCACTTCAAAGATGGACTGCGGAAGGTCCGGGGCCACAGAGGACTCAAACTCTCAGGTTTCAAAATATGTATTCGTTCTGAAGACTATCAGTACCCGGAGTGCGAATGAGAGTGTAGCTGCCAGAGAGTCAAACTTTTCAGGCTTTGATAAGTATACCATGGAGCCTTCCACAGGCTTAGGAATTTCCATACCATTGCGCCGCTTGTGGCGTGTGCTGTGAGATCATTCTCTGCACTTGTCCCTCAAGAGGTCGTTTCACTGCTGCCAAAGTTTTGCAGCACTTGAGCAGACACGACCCAATTGCCTTAACATGCTTTAACATGATTCACTGTTTCTATCGGTTTGCTTTCATTGCTCTCAACATGAACTTCAACATTCAGCGATCAGCTGCCTCTTGCCTTCCTCGCGGACCTCGGGCAGACGATTCAATGCTGCATCCCGCAGCTGATGATCCGCTCGATGCTTAAGCTGCTGCTCCTTCAACCCCTGCTGTGATAATGCTGCAAATGTGCAACGGCAAGAGGAGTCCGCTAGATACACTGGGAATACTCACATGAAGATCATGAAGGCCATGAAGGCTTATGATTAGGCTATTATGATTAATTTATGATTACCAAGTGAATTTTTATGTTGATGGAATCGTTGGAATCGTGATGTAAGCAGCTCCCTGCCTCTCAGGATCCTTGCATGGCTACTTGTTCGCGTACGCGGCCGTGGAACTGGCATTGAAATATGGGCATGGCATCAATACGGGTCGGTATGGACATAAAATGAAATAAGCATAAATAAACTACTCCAAAAGTCCAGTGGATGTTCATGATTTCCCTGTTTAAACCCCCATTGAAATTGCCATGTTGGGAATTTCTCGATTTTTGGAGCTGCATCCCCAGGCACACATCGTGTTGTGCAAGTTATGCACTGAGCCCAGGGTCAAGTCTCAACGTGCTGCCTCTCTGTTCTCGCCCATCATCCAGCCGTTGCCATGTCAAGGCCCTGTGACCGTTGATTTTTTTTGTTGAATTTCTCACGATTCGAAGGTACAGCTGATGATGATTCTGATGATAATGATGCTGTTGTTGTTGTTGTTGCTGCTGTTGTTGTTGTTGTTGCTGCTGTTGCTGTTGCTGTTGCTGCTGCTGCTGCTGTTGTTGTTGTTGTTCTTGTTCTTGTTGTTGTTGTTGTTGTTGTTGTTGTTGTTGTTGTTCTTGTTCTTGTTGTTGTTGTTGTTGTTGTTGTTGTTGTTTTAAGTTTAAGTTTAAGTTTAAGAACGAACGCATTTTGTGCTGAGCTCATGGGCCTGCAGGTCCAAACCTCATAGCTTTTGCTGAGCAGCAGGTGCGCGAGTTTCTTGGCTTCGGTTCTATCGGATAATCAGGTGGGATCAGATGGGTGCGGTAGGAATGACTGTGTAAGGTAACGAGGAGTGACCACAGCTGCATTTGTTCCTTGATTGGTTACTGGTCGTTGGTTCTTTTCGTTTGCACGCCAGGCTACATCCCTTGAACCTGCGTAGAGACAGACCCAGTTGCACCCAGTGTAGGTTTTGGTGCAGTTCATAGGACTTGTGGAAATGGGTGTGGGTGAATAGCGCAACCCAAAACTCAAGTTGATACAATCCATGCTATCCATATGATCCATATGAAGGTTCCCTTGACGCCAAGGTTTAGTCTTCTGGAAGGCCAAGTACCAATGGCAGTCTCAACACCGCCTCCGGTGATTTGGCAAAACACCGTCACCAAGGAATGTTTTGTCACAAACCAATGTTTGAACTTCTTCAAATCACCAATTTCTCCCCCAGCGTCCCTTTTCACATACGAACTCTGATCATCACATCCTTCGAATCGTGGCCACTGTCATGGCAGATCGATCTTTTCAACACCAACATGTCCAAGGTCCAGCCGCTTGAAACATCATCCGGTGCCTTGGCTGGTGCAACGACGCCTTGTTTCACAGTCCGGGCCGGCTTACCATTACAGTCATTTAAGGGCTAACGCCCCCTGCCGCCGACCCCTGGAAAAGAACGCGAAGAAGCGGAGGACATCGTGACCGAGGACCGGATAGGGATCATTAGTCTCCTGCACAGGGAGCAGAGCCCTGAATAGGGGCCATATATATATATAAACTCCTGAACAGGGAGGGCCTCGCAGAGAGGCATTTATGGGGAGATCTGGGGAGTAGTGTGGCATATAGTGTATGTGTCTCTGTGTGTGTGTGTGTGTGTGGGTGTGTATGTGGGCGCGTGTGTGTGTGTGTGTGTGGGTGGGTGTGTGTGTGGGTGTGTATGTGGGCGTATGTGCGTGTGTGTCGGGAATGCAAAACCAGCCAATGGCAGGTGGCCAAGCCGCGTGAA